GTCTGAGTCAGTTTGTACACTTTTTCCTTTCTTAAGTCTGTTGTATTTGGTTTGGCACCTGATGATTTGTAACTTGAAAGATTTTCTGTTGTTCCCTAAAGATTTCTATTTTTGGTAACATCGTTCGGGACGATATTGATATCATCCTGAACGATCTGTCCAAAAAACAGAAACCCTAATTAGGGCATCCTCGTTAAGGCAGCCGTCATAGGTTAATCGGCTTGGATGATACCTGTATCGGCTAGGACAATAGGCTCAATTCAGAAACAATCAACCGCCATAATCAGATTATGTATCCTTTATTTTAGGAAATCGGCCAGAACGATATACACATCGTCCAGGATGATCTAACTTAATTATGTCTAATTTGATCTGGTATCTTTGGAAAGTATTAATGGCTGATTGATATGATCACATCATTCGTGACGATCGTAGGATCAGCCGGGACGATGTCCTAGACGATTTACATCGACCAGAATCTATTCCGGGCGATGATCAGGACGATTGAAATTAATTTTAAACTAATCATCCAGGACGATCGTGAGTTCGGCCAGGACGATGTAACCAATTTTCTTCTGATCGTCGCAAATTGTCCCAGGCTGATGAGCTTAATTTGTACTAATCATACAGAACGATATTTATATCGTCCTGGACGATAATGTCAGCAACTTGCATTAATGAGCAAATTTTGAGAGCTTCTATTTAAGCTTTGTCAAGGCACTTTTGTAAGTGTTTTTGGCAGCCATTGTAGCTTCGTTCTTGTGGGGAAAACTTGAAGATAAAGCTTAAAAGAGAGTGAGGAACGGGTGAAGTTTGAGAGAGGGAGAATATCCTGTGAGGGGGGACTCAAGGGAGTGTGGAGGGGGTTCCACATGGTTGCTCCAACAAGCTCTCACCTGAATATCGTCGGATTCAAGGCTTGCCTGAAGGGAAGTTCACCAAGAAGAAGATCTCTTTGTTGTAAAAGGATCCGGCGACTCCGCCGCATCGGGGAAGGTGGAAGTAATTTTGTAAGGGCTTCTCCGCCTAGCTGTGGGGGCTAAAGGAGAGACACTTGTTTTAGTGCAACACTTAGAGGGTGCCTCCAAGGAGTGGATGTAGGTCAAGGTTTGACCAAACCACTATAAATATGGTGTGTTCTTTCTTATTATTGCTTCCGCATTATTTTCTTCCGCACTTATTTTTTGTAGTGATTTTGGTTTGAGTTTTATCTTTAGTTTTAAACTTATCCAATTCACCTCTCTCTTTATTAGTCTTGGGCCAGTTCATAAGGGCTAAACATCTCTAACGAACTTTCAAGTGGTATCAGAGCGGTATTCATAAGATCTAGTTTTTAAAAGCTTTTGAATTTTGATCCATGACTAATTTTACAAATTATAATATTGCGGAAGGTTATTCAATCACCAGACCACCTTTGTTTGAAAATATTACATTTGATTTTTGAGAAATTCGCATGTATATTTTTTCCAATCGATTAATTTTCGCATGTGGCATATGATTTTAACTGGTTATTCATCACCGTCATGTATTTTAGATGGAATTAAAACTGACATTCTTTTAGTCAATGGAATAGAGAAGAACAAGTAAATGCTCAATTGAATGCAAAATCTTTAAATTGCTTTTTCTGTACTTTAAATTCTGAAGATTTTATATTAGTATCCACGTGCACTACTGGTAAGGAAGTTTGGGATAAACTACACACCATATACGAAGGCACTAGTGAAATCAAGCAATCCAAGTTGAATATGTTAATGCATGATTTTTAAATGTTTTTCATGAAACCTTATGAAACAGTCTTAGACATGTATACTAGGTTTATTCAAATTATAACATCATTACATGCTTTAGGAAAGGAGTTTTCAAATTTTAAAAAAGTCTATAAAATTCTTCGTTGTTTACTTAAAAAATTTGATGCCAAAGTTGTTGCTATTTATGAATCAAAAGATTTGAATGATTATTCTATTGATAATTTGATTGGCTCACTCATTTCCTACGAGCAAAGTTTGGGTCAAAGAGTTTTGGATGTAGGTGAAACGATTGTTCTAAAAGCTGAAGATACAGAAAGAGCTGATTGATACGATTACATCGTCCGGGACAATCGTAGGATCGGCCGGGACGATGTCCTAGACGATTTACATCAACCAAAATCTATTCTGGGCGATGATCAGGACGATTGAATTCGGTTTTAAACTAATCATCCGGGACGATCGTGAGATCGGCCAGGACGATGTAACCAATTTTCTTCTAATCGTCCTAAATCGTCCCGGGCTGATGAGCTTAATTTATACTAATCGTACAGGACGATATTTATATCTTCCTAGATGATAATGTCGGCAACTTGCATTAATGAGCTCGTTTTGAGAGCTTCTATTTAAGCTTTGTCAAGGCACTTTTGTAAGTGTCTTTGGCAGCCATTGTAGCTTCGTTCTTGTGAGGGAATCTTGAAGAGAAAGCTTGAAAGGGAGTGAGGAACGGGTGAAGTTTGAGAGAGGGAGAAGATCCTGTGAGGAGGGACTCAAGGGAGTGTGGAGGGGGTTCCACACGGTTGCTCCGGCAAGCTCGCACCTGAATACAGTCGGATTTAAGGCTTGTCTCGAGGGAAGTTCAATAAAGAAGAAGATCTCTTTGGTGTCAAAAGACCCGGCGACTCCGCCGCATCGGGGAAGGTTGAAGCGATTTTGTAAGGGCTTCTCCACCTAGCTGTGGGGGCTAAAGGAGAGACACTTAGTTTAGTGCAATACGTGGAGGGTGCCTTCAAGGAGTGGACGTAGGTCAAGGTTTGACTGAACTACTATAAATCTGGTGTGTTCTGTCTTTTATTACTTCCGCATTTAATTTCCGTATCGTTGATTTCTTTGTGGTGAATCTTGGTTTTTGGTTTTAAGATTGTGTTTGTTTTAAATACCAATTCACCTCTCTCTCTTAATTAGCTTTGGGCCAGTTCATTAGGCCTAACATCCCTAACGAACTTTCAAGTGATATCAGAGCAATTTTTAGTGTCATCTGAGCACTTTCAGGAGGTCGGAAGGACCGTAGTCGGCAAGAGACGGAGATCGAAAAGACCATTATCTGGCGATGTAGGTCGGAAGGACCACAGTAGGAGATAGAGGTTGGAAGGGCCGTAGTTGGTAGGAGATAGGGGTCTGAAAGACCGTAGTTGGTAGAAAACTAGGGTCAGAAAGATCGTTGTCTGTTAATGGAGGTCGGAAGGACCATAGTAGGCGACGTAGGTC